AAGACCTTAGTAATAAGACTTAGATCAGGTGGATACGCTCCTCCATTGGCGAACCTTGCAGCTGACTCATTCGAGTATGGTTCAGGAAGCCGGTCACTGAGCTTACCGGGTCGAGTGAACATCTCACCCTCATCGTTTGGTCCATCAACAACCTCGATTTCAGCTGCCATTGCCTTCGCCTCTTCCTCTGTGTAGGCAACACCCACCAAGTCTCGGTATGAGATCAGAGACATCGAGTGGCAAGATGCACAGACTTGCTGGTAAACTTGGTGACCACGACGGATCCTGCTCATTGTCAAATCAACCACAAAACGTTACAATAAAGTAGTCCCTAACTTCATTCATTCTTTCTAGTATAGTGAAAAAGTGTATTTTTGAGAAAACTCACGAAGCATGGTCGTATGAGCTGAGAATGCCATCATGAGGCCAAGGGTAGTGTGGAGACTCCAAGCCGTGTTCAGCTTCATCAGCGGATGCTACTGTAGAGAAACTCAACAACCCTGTAACACCAGCACCCAGGAGAGCAAATGCTCTAAAACCAGCAGACCCAGCCTCGTCATTAGCTTTCTTCGAAGACAACCATGACAACACCGGAGTTGCCTATGAGATAACACAGAAACAACAGTAAGAAACACATATATACTTGTATGCTCCAAAAAATGATCAAAAGATTGCAGAGAATCAGAAGTCTGCTTTGCCTCTAAGCACAAATCAAAGCGTTCTCATTTGTTCACCAGAAATTCTCTACCTTGAATCTCTCCAAAGCATGAAATGTACACACAGAACATCCTAAAGATTCTTCTTTTCAAAAAAAAAAATCAACTTGAAATCCCAGATAATCATTATGCAAAAACAAACGAGAACAAAATTCAGATGTTGAGGGAGTGAAAATTGACACTGACCACTGATTGGGAGTGAAGTTTCCTCCTTAGAAGCTGCTGGATAACTCCTCCTCCAACCATTTGATAAACGTTTTGTACCAATCAAATTCGCTGGAAAATGAAGAAGAAAACAACAAAGACGAGAGCTTCAAATTCAAAAGGTGATATGCGAATAGATAAAAAAATGCTATAGCCCTACGAAATTCGACGCTACATACAGATCCGACGAATATATTAATATCCAGCTAACGGAGATGAAAGAAGAGATCCATCGATTCGGATTAAGAAAATTTTCGATCGAGTGGAAAGGAACTCACCGGAAGATGACGCAACGGGATCGGCGATTGGACGACTATCGAGCAAAAGGACAGATTGAGAAACACAGGAGGAAGAAGAAGCAAACAGATACCAGAGAAAATGGATCTCTTTCGATGACGAAGTTTGCTGCAACACAATATGATTATGGGCTTTTAAGGCCCATGGGCCTAACATCTTCTACTAAGGTCACGAGTGTAAATAAGTCAACCAACGCTAAACATCAACAAACAAATATTTGGCTCAAGTTATGTTTCCTTTGTGACACTACTTCTGTATGTTGCACTAAAAGTTAACATCTGGATAGAATTTTTCTTAAGAAGATAAAGCACAAATCTGCGGAAACAAAAAAGACATTTGACCGAACTTTGATTGAGGAGATATCATGGTTACTAGTAATAAATATTCATCTGTATGTTTAAATGATAAAATAATCATACAACAAGTAACACATAGAGGAATCGGAACTATAGTCTATATATAGGTCTTTGTTTTTCATGCAATAATTCATATTCTCTTTTTGAGCAAAAGTTTACATTCATACGTGAAAATTGACGCTGTGTTGTTAATTAGTTTGTTTTTGTTGGTATGAAAAAATAAACACTAGATGAAGACGACATGTATATGTATTATTAGTTGTTACGCAGTGAAAGAACTTATTTTTTGTTTTAAAATCTTGTAATCAATTGTAGTCATCTTCTTTTGGTCAGAATGTAGTCATCATAATTTAGATTATTCATATCAAATGTCCGACCACGAAACAAAGGACTTTATATTGCTACACACTTTCATATAGACACATTCGAAAATATCATATACACATGCATATTTTGATGGATACGTGCATACAAACAACTATTATACGTATCTATTTCCAAATGTGCCCTGACATGACAGCTTTTTCAATTTTGAAATGGAGGACACTTCATGCAATGCGATTGGTTGGGTGGTGAAGGACCATATAAGAGTCTTGAAATAAGGTAAAAAAACACCAGATGCTGTTTTAGCCTGATCGTAGGACCCATAACACCCATTTTATCATTTAGTATAAATCTCATAATAAAGAGCTGTGAACCAATCAAATCACACATCTCGCAGTTCCCAGAATTATTGGGTGCTTTGGATAACCATCCGATTAAACTATCATATAGACCTATGTGTATGGTTGTATCTGTACTCACATTGCTTATAGTCTAATTAATGATGTTTGTGTGTGTGCCTGCTTCGGATTTTAATATTAATCTTTGATACAGAGAGCTTACTAATCTCGAATCTCAATACCCGTTTATAGGATTCGAGTCCGAGATATTTCAGAAGATTTTACAGTCATATTTTATATAAATAATTCTTTCGAAGAGGTAATCGACCATGCCATTTATAGCTTTATCATGTGAAACCGAACCATCTGGTGTCCGTACTGTAATAATATATCTAAATCGCAGAAACTGAAAATTAAAATAATTCAGAGCAAAAACTGAAAATAAAAGCGGATGGATAAGATAAAATACAGTTAAGAACACAATATATATCAACTAGCTTTACTATAGTGTAACTTCGAGTTTCTTTTTCAAACTTCTCTATATATTCGCCCTTGACTTAAACAGTACCCGCATCAACTCAATACGGTAGTCATCACATATATACAAACATTGTTTCAAGTTTGTTTTTGGCTTCTTTATTGGATTTGACCACTCACGCATATATATATGAAGTTATGAACCCAAGCAAACGCACATAAATAAACATATATTAATGCATATACAAACATATATATGTCGAGCTGATATAATTGAAATTCAAATTAAGAGTTTCAAATATTTACAGCAGGGATTAGGCTACTCCCCAAAACTCATAGATTGCACTATATAATTAAGCCCTAAACGAGAGTATACTAAACTTTACAACTTAGATGTGATTATTAGTACTTCTTAACAAACATCTAATATCAACTTAAATCTATATATATATATATATATATTTCTATAAATTATGCAATTCATCACATGCATATATTAGCAGCCATTATGACCTGTAATCGTTGGTTTTTGTATCCCAACTCCGTTTATAGAATGTCCTCCCCTACTATAAGGACTAACAAATATTCATGTATAGTCCTAATCAATAAATCATATAAGAGCTACAATGACCACTAGGTGTAGCCCGTATCGACACCTACTCTGATTGACATTACTTTACTAGTTAAAATGCACGACAAACATATACTGAGATTTCAAAATACTTTTGCCAAGTAATTGGTTACTGGTTAGAAAATTTGACTATCAATGGTAAGGAAAAAAAAAAGGTCAAATTTTCTTGTAAAATAATCCTTCTATCGGAAAATAAAAGTTAAAAAAAAAAAAAAAAAAAACAAGAGAAATAAATTAGTGTTAATGAACTTAGCCATCAACTCATTCAAGTGTCTCGTATGTTTGCCCTAGGCACGTGGCATTCTCCTATTCCCGAATGTTAATCTCTTTGGCCACCGGAGAGACACTGAAAGAATATACAGAAAGAGAAAGAGAGAGAGAGTGAAGAGCTAAAGAGGTGAGAGAAACAAGAGAACGAGCGACAGAGAGAGCGAGAGAGAAATCAGAAATGAATCAAGATCATGAGTTATGGCGGACGCTAAGATGCGCCGGCAAACCGCAAGATAAGACCTCCGTGGATACTCTCATGCTTAAGTACCGTCCGATCGCTCCAAAGCCGACGACGGCTGGTCAACCATTAGTCGGAGATAACAGCTCCTCAATCACGAGAAGGACCAAGAGAAAGTACGTTAGGGTTTCTAAGAACAATAAAGCCACGTGCCGATCCAAGAACGGAGTTAGATCTGTCTCAACAGATCCAGAGAATGGCCGAGAACGAGAAGACATCGTGACGTTACAGCTCATGCCGGAGAGATCCGATCTGTCCTCATACGAATCAACGCCGTTGAGTTTGGATCATCATAATAATCTCGATCCAACGGTGGAAACAAGTAAAACCGACACGTGGTTATTGGTTAACGGCGGCGATGAGGCTGTGCATCCGGTTCCGGTGGAGACGTGGGTGACGGTGGAGTCCGTTAACGGTGGCTCCGTTTCCCATGCGGTAGGGTGTACGGACGAAGACCTCGCGGATGCTTTAGATAAGGACACGTGTCCAGCCTTTGTATCAGATGGCTTGAATCGTGTGGTGATGGTGAACGAGGCCTACCGTAGGATAGTAACCGGAGACGGTGGATTTGAAAGAGAGACGTCGTCGTTGTTGCCGCAGGTGATTGTGTGGTTGGTGGTTGACCAAACGGCGGCGTTTTCTGACTACCGTACTTTCACGTGTAAGGTGAGACTTGAGTACACGTGGCGAGAGACGAAGTACGCTAAAACGGTGCCGTGTGATGTGTGGAAGATGGACTTTGGTGGATATGCATGGAGGCTGGACACTACTGCAGCTCTAACTCTTTGGCTTTGAGTAAGAGATGTTAGAGGATACGATTAAATATTAAGATGTGGTTAAGGTTCATAAGCTCAAACCTTAATCACTTTCTCGCACTTTGGTTAATTGGTAAACTAATAAGTAATACTAAAGAGAAAGGTTTGAGAATCAAGTCTTTCGGAATAAATTTGTGTGAGAACGTATATATAGAGATTGGAAATTGTCATTATGTCAAATATACTGATTGGCAGAGCTTAAGAAAAAAGATGTCAATGCTTGGTTTTTTTTGGCTTTTGTATTGATTACTTTTATTTACTTGTTAGTCTCTCTCGTATACAAATTTGCATATCAAAAGATATCAATAGTAACTTCAGCGGTATAGTTATTAACATGAATAAAATTTGTATGTGATAAGATGTATATCATCAGTGATTAATTTCACCGATATTATAAATCATATATTTAACAATAAACAAGCAAATTTTTCCAATGTAATATGTGATCATTTAAACCTGTAATGATTTATGCATGTCATATATAATGAATGTTAAAGGGATTTGCTGATTTGAATGCATTGTTTGAGTGACTGTGAAGTGGGATTGATGTTGATAAGCATGGTTAAATCTTAATGAATATCTCTCACCTTGTTGCATTCTAGAATCTCTAAGTTGGACATTTAGCAAATCGCTTTTGAGGACATGTTTTTAAGTGTTGAATCAGCTTTTTCAAACCTCATCTCTTTCTTGTTCTATTTGTTTGCTTGAGGGCAAGCAAAGTTCAAGTTTGGGGGTGTTGATGTACTTGCATTTTACATAGTTTTAGCACATCTTTTATGCATCTTTTGCATAGTTTTAGCTTCCATTTGCATCATATCTTGTTCCTTTTCTCTTCTTATGCATTCATGTTAGTTTTAGGTTGCATTTGCATACATATGCATGTTTGGTCCTTTGAAATAGGTCTTTTGGAGCATTCTGGAGCATATGGGACAAGGAGCATGGAGGGACTTGGCACATGGAAGCAGCTCAACTGGATACGCAAAGGAAGAAGGGAGAAGCCATCTTGAAGACCACCACTCGACCAACCGGTCGAGTTCCTCAACTCGACCGGCCAAGCTTCAACTCGATCGAGCTGAGAAGTCAACAGTCAAACCCGAAAAATGTTGCTTCCCCCTTGACTTTCCTTTGACCCTAAACCTAATCCTCTTGTATTTAAAGGCTCTAAGCCACGAAAAAACCACCAAGCTTTAGATTATTTTGTTTTAGTTTCTTTTAATTTATTGTCTTTTACTTTTTAGAGATCTAATCCCATCTTTGTGTTCTTGAAGCTCTTGCTTCTTGAATCTTAGATCCTGGATAATCTCTTTGTATTTGCACTTGCTTATTTCAATAAAAGTTGTTTAATTTCATCTCCTCTTTCTTATGATGTCTCTTTTATTGCATTTGCTTGTGTTTACATTCATGTGTAGTGAGTAGTTACCCATTAGGGTTTGAGATGGGATAGATTAGAGGTTTCATATGCTTAATCCTTCTAGCTTATGGTCTTAATCTAGATTCTCTCTCTTTTGGATAGATCTTAAGGCTACATGACCACTACCCCTGGCTTGTAAGTCCTTAGGCGACTCCCCACACGAAAGTGATGGCATTCGCTGGAAAAGATCCACTAAGAGCTCCAATATCTCTTGCTCTAGACAATAGAGGTCTAAGGGGTTGGATGGATTAGTTTGGGCAATGATCCTATAGCCTCCAAGGTTTGATTCTCACTGGCTAACCCCCTGTTTCTGAGATCATTCCTTGGTTGATAGCCTTCACCTTGGGAAAGGGTTGGTTAGGCATTGAGAAGCCCAATATCAAGAGAAGCCTTGATACAAGGAGTTTTAAGAGCTAGATTGATTAAGTGTAGATTCCTTTGATTGCAAAACCCTGTCTTGAACCCTAATTCTCTCTTTATCTTGTTAAAGTCGTCACCTTTAGCTTTGTTTGTCTCAACTCGTCCCTAAACTCGATCGAGCTGGTACTTTGCTCTACTCGACTCGAGTCTTGGTCGAGCTGACACTTCACTGCTTTGTTTACTTTTATTGCACTGCTTTTCTTTTTTTAGGTTGTTAGTGTTACTTCAAATCTTTACTGCTTGCTTGACTTCCTGGTTGTTTCATATTCTCATAGAGTGACAAGTTTCCCATTTTGGATTGATAACCCTTTGTACTACATCAACTATCATGGTTAAAGGGAATTGTTGACTGTGTTTGTGTTTGCATCTTACCACCATCATATACCACTGATTGCATTCCACTCATCTCATTTCATATCTTTTCACATCCACACACAAAACCTTATCATCAAGTACCCCGATGGCGCTCATGTAAGGTACTTCAGGACCTAACATTTCTTCAGAATCTTCAATAGGTCGAAATAGATCCTTGTTAACATCAAGCGATCTATTGACCATTGGACTACTCAAAGGAGTCGCTTTATCCATATAAAAGCGCTTTAACACCCTTTTGGTGTAATTTGATTGATGCAAAAATATTCCATCTTGGAAATGCTCTATCTGGAGCCCCAGACAAAACTTTGTCTTTCCAAGATCTTTCATTTCGAACTCATCTTTCATATGAGTTCTTGCATCATCAATCTCCTTTTGAGTTCCAATCATGTTCAGGTCATCAACATACACAGCAATGATCACAAAACCCGTTGAGGATTTCTTTATGAACACGCATGGACAAATCGCATTGTTGACGTAACCTTTACTCAACAAGTATTCACTTAAGCGATTGTACCACATGCGGCCGGATTGTTTTGATCCATAAAGTGATCGCTGGAGTTTGACCGAACAAAGCTCTTTAGATGCTTCAGACATCTTTGACCCTTTTGGGATCTTAAATCCCTCAAGAATTTTCATATATATCTCACTATCAAGTGAGCCATATAGGTATGCAGTCACAACATCCATCAGGTACATCTCTAAATTATTAGAGGCCGTTAGGCTCATTAAGTACCTGAAGGTGATTGCATCCATTACCAGGGAATATGTTTCTTCATAATCTATCCCCGGTCTTTGAGAAAAACCTTGAGCCACAAGACGAGCTTTATATCTTGTGACTTCGTTTTTCTCATTTCTTTTTCTTACAAAAACCCATTTGTATCCAACCGGCATTACATCTTTTAGTGTAATGATTATCGGTCCGAATACAGTCCGTTTATTGAGAGAGAATATTTCATTCTTCATGGCCATTTGCCATTTCTCCCAGTCCGGCCTCTTTTGGCACTCTGACACGGAAGTTGGATCTGGATCATCATTTTCATGATCGATCTCTTTAGCTACAGAAAAAGAGAACATTTCATCATCTATTTCAACCCATATTTTTCCACTTTGGGCGAAGGAGATGGAAATCTCAAATTTTTCTGTCTCTGGTTCGTCATCTTGACGAACCTCTTTATCAGGTTCTACAAGAACCTGTTCGGAAATGTCTTGAAGACATTTCGGTTCATCAGGAACCTTTACTCCACAATTCTTTTTCTTTTGGGGATTTTTATCCTTTGATCCTATAGGCCTCCCGCGCTTTAATTGAACCGGTTCACTTGCTCTATTCACATCAAAATGTTCATGAGGAACTTCTATTTTTGATGGAGCATTAGCAGCGGGGATATAGGACTTCGTCACCCTTTTCGTATCTGTGAACGCATCGGGCAACTGGTTAGCCAATCTTTGCATATGTATAATTTTCTGAACTTCCACCTCGCGTTGATTAGAAGGAGGATCAAGATAAGCCAAAGAGTGTGTACACCATTTGGTGATATCATTTGGTGATTCTCTCGACCCTCCCCCTAACGCAGGGAATTCATTTTCATCAAAGTGGCTATCGGCAAATCTTGCCGTAAACATATCACCAGTTGCCGGTTCAAGATACCTTATTATACTAGGGGACGAATACCCGACATATATTCCCAATCTCCTCTGTGGTCCCATTTTTGATCTCTGTGGTGGCGCTATTGGGATATAGACCGCACACCCGAATACCCGGAGATGGGATATATTTGGCATATTTCCAAATGCCAACTGTATGGGCGAAAATTCATTATAAGCACTTGGTCTCACTTGAACCAAGGCTCCCGCATGCAATATTGCATGTCCCCATACAGTGATTGGGAGTTTTGTTCTCAAGATTAACGGTCTTGCAATTAACTGCAACCGCTTTATTAATGACTCAGCCATGCCATTTTGCGTATGAACGTGCGGAACCGGATGTTCAACATCGATTCCCACAGACATACAAAAGTCATTAAAGGCTGCTGAAGTGAATTCACCAGCATTATCAAGCCTGACTTTCTTTATGGCATAATCAGGGAAATGCGCTCTCAACCTGATTATTTGGGCAATGAATCTTGCGAAAGCCATATTTCTTGTGGTCAAAAGACACACATTTGACCATCTACTAGATGCGTCAATCAATACCATAAAGTATCGAAATGGCCCGCACGGTGGGTTAATAGGCCCACATATATCACCATGTATTCTCTCTAAGAATACAGGGGATTCATTCCCAACTTTGGCTGGCGAGGGCCTAATTATGAGTTTTCCTTGAGAACATGCTTTACATGAAAACTCCCCCGATTGAAAAATCTTTTCATTTTTCAATGGGTGGCCACTCGTATTTTGCACAATTCTTCTCATCATGACTGAACCTGGGTGGCCAAGTCTTTCATGCCACACCCTAAAAGTGCTAGTAAACATCTGGTTTACTGCAACATAAGATTCAGTCATGTTGATTTTTGTGCAATATAAACCAGAGGACATCATTGGTAATTCTTCCAATGTTTGTTTCCTCTCCGTTGTAATGCAAAGATATTCAATGCCATTTTTGTTTATAGTCTCAATATGATATCCATTTTTGCGGATATCTCGGAAACTTAATAAGTTCCGGTGAGACTCCGGGGAATATAGTGCATCTCGCACTTCAAATTTCGTTCCCCTTGGCAATGAAAAACTTGCACTCCCAGAGCCAAGTATTATTTTTGCACTACCGCATATAGTACTCACGCTTTCAGCGGAGTCTTTCATTTTGAGATAGGAGAAATACTTCTTATCTTTGAGTATTGTATGTGTCGTAGCACTGTCTGCTAGACAAGTATCTCCATCCTTAATCTCAAAGGTGGCACCATCTGGGCCACGAAATTCATAAAATATGAAACATTTTATATTAAACATTGCTAATATATTACATCAAAAACTTTTTAGCAAAAGATATATTATACAATACAAGAAAAACGATTAAGAGATTGTTATTCTTGTCTTCTTTACGAAGACACTATCATCGATTTGACTTTCTTTGGCTCAGTTGATTCTTCAGGATCAACGAGATAGTCGGCGACATCCAGATGAAAATCATCACTTAAGCCATCAAAGGATGGACCAGGTTCATCAGAGATGAAGTTGGTCTCTGTGTCCTTATTTTGGCTTGTTGTGATGCCCTGTACAGATCGGCTAAATGTTTGGGCGTACGACATGTACGCTCAAAGTGATTATTCATGCCGCATCTGTAACAGGTGCGTTCACCCTTTCTTTTTACCGCTCGACCATCATCACTTTCTCTTCCACGTCCACGACCTCGACCGCGACCGCGACCACGGCCTCTGCCGCGTCTGCGTTCACGTTCAGGCTTTTTAGTATGACTGGATGACGCAACATTCGCTTCAGGGAATGGCGCAGATCCAGTTGGACGGAGCTGATGGTTTAACATCACAAGCTGATTATTTTTTTCAGCCACAAGGAGGATTTGCATCAACTCCGAGTACGAGGTGAACTCTCTTGCCCGGTATTGTTGTTGCAGGATTATATTTTCAGGATGAAAAGTTGAGAGAGTTTTTTCCAACATATCAAATTCACTGATATTCTCTCCACACATTTTCATCCTGGAAGTGATGTTGTACATAATGGAATTGTACTCAGCAACACTTTTATAATCCTGGAACCGGAGGTTCAACCACTCGTACCTCGCTTGCGGTAAGATCATATATTTTTGATGATCAAACCGAACTTTAAGCGAGTTCCATAGATCCGCATGATCTTCTTTTGTGATGTATTCATCTTTTAAACCATCATGTATATGGTGGCGTAAAAAGATCATGGCTTTCGCCTTTTGCTCATCGGACGTCTTTCCAGACTTATCGATGGTGCTCAAGAGACCATTTCCTTTTAGGTGCAACTTTGCACCTACCGTCCAAGACAAATAGTTGTTACCACTAATGTCAAGGGCGGCGATCTCGAGCTTTGTCAAATTCGACATTATAACTGAATAACAAAAACTTAAACTTTTGAAAATTTCAGCATAATAACGGTATATAAAAGCATAAATTGAAATAACAAGAATATAAATGACTGAATTTAAGAGCATAATATAAAGGCAGAAATTTAGATCTGGGAGGAGACATAGTCATCAACTCCGCTACATGGAGGAGGTTTTCACCATCAACTCCGGAGGAGGATTTCCCTACCACTCCATATATATGATCTGAGGAGACATAGTCTACCATGTGATCATTTGCTCGGAGTAGGCAGAGCCTAGCTTCCCGGCTTTAATTTATTTGATTGAGGAGGCAGAGTCATCCATGACGATCAGCTCGGAGTAGGCATGGCCTAGCATCCCGGCAGAACATACAAAATATAATTTTAAAAATTTTAAATAATTTGGACAGAATTTAGTCTCACATTTTCGGTATAAGGATAAATCTGGATAGATCTAGACTCGTAGAGGCGGTCGTGCTGATAACGTGTTATAAACTAATTATTTAAAGTGAAAATATAAAATATAAAGAAGGTGGGAACCATTTGGGTCAGGTGAGAAAAGAGAGATGACGATGTGAGAGAGAGAGATGAGTGAGAAATGATTTCATGTGTGTACTGATCACTTAGTACAATCCCTATTTATAGGGTAGACAATATCGGTTCTTTAAAAGATAAGAGTGAGGTGATGATGACACGTAGAGGAAGTAGAGAATTACATCTTTATCTACAACAGTTTTAACCTAAATGCTTTTTTCACTTCTCACTTTCGACAGCGGACTCTTTCTTTGATAGTTTCTATCTCATCTCTCAAACTCTAAATGTATCAGATAATTTATGGAAATCGACCCCGTTTCTCTCCATTTCTCAGCCTGATTCTGTTTCTCTCAATGAATCATTCTTTTTTATCAGTTCGGATCAACTCTATCCAGCTACAAATTTCTCTTTTTTATCAGATTTATGTTCATGTAACTCCTTATTTTTCAGTTAAAAAGTAAAACAGGCTGCTTTCAAAAGCTAATTAGTCGTAAGGTAGTTTTCTTTGTTTTATTTAGTGCTTACAGAATTTCTAAAAATTCTGTATTTGAACATTGTTGACTAAACGTGAGTAGAATTGAAAGGGAATCTAAGAGAATTCTGCAATTAAATATTTTAGGATAAATAAAAATTGAGTGATGTTGACAAAATTGTCTTGTTGTCTTCTACTTGAGTGAAAATGAAAGGGATTGTAATTGTTAAATGTTAATTTCTTGCTGTCTTTAATGTTGACAAATCGAACATGAAAAACAAACAATATGTAACAATGGTAAAATAAATAAAACGTGATAATAGAGTTGTTTTGAGTCTTTGTACTTTGAATTGTTGTGTTTACCATTTTGTCTTATTGATTTATTAACCATGATGAACCATAGTTTGAAACCCCTATTAGTTGAGTATTGAGTTGGTGATATTATTTATAGCTTATATATTTATTTTATTTGTGTACTTATTTGTAACAAGTATTGGAAATGGAATCTGAGAAGCAAAATTCAACAGCTGCCAGCGAAAGATCAAGTTTACCACAACAATGAAATGCAGATGAGTTGAGTAATAATAGCAAGAGGAAAATGAGCTCATGTGTGTTTGATAATTTTATAGTCATTATCAAGATCAATAGTGAATATATATTTGAACAAAGTGCTAAGTGTAAGCATTGCACAAATGATTTTGCATTTGAATCACACAAGCAAGGTACCTTTAACTATAATTTAGACTCACTAGTTTGCAATAAGACGCCTATAACTAGTGATGTTGGTGCTATGCTGGTTACTGCTGAGGGAAAACTACAGTCTAGAAAATTTAATCAAAGTATTTTTCGTAAAATAGTTGTAAAGTCTTTAGTTGAGCATGATATGCCTTTCTCCTATGTTGAATATGCTAGATTTATGTCAGTTTGGGAGTATTTAAATGTTGATATGAAGTTCATAGGTAAACACACAACTGTTGCATATGTGTTTAGGTTTTATATATAATATTGAAAAAGTAAATTTGAAGGTGGAATTGTCTGAAATTCTCGGTAGGATCCCTTTCATATCTGATTTTGGTCGGCTATACAGTTGAGGGATATATATGTGTGACGGCACATTACGTAGATAAGCATCTTAGGAATAATCTTATTACTTTTTCTGCTCTGCCTACTCTACACAGTGGAATAAATAGCGATGAAAATTATGGAAGTTTTGAAAGAGTGGGGGATAGAGAGAAAATTATTCTCCCTTTACGCTGAATAATGCTAGTAGCAATTATAACATGCAAAACATCTTAAAGAAGCAGCTTGTAATTTAAAATGATTTGTTGTGTGGTGGAGAGTTCTTCCATGTAAGATGCTCTGCGCACATTCCGAGTCTGATTGTCAAGAACGCATTAAAAGTGATGGTCATGCCGTATCTAAAATCAGAGACATCATCAAATTTTCCAAACTTCATAAGCTCGTCGGAAATTGTTTGCAACCTGTGTGGTTTCTGCTCAGGTTGAGAATAAGAATGCTGGTTTGACACTGAATGCAACAACATATTGGAATTCTACATTTAAAATGCTTACCGCACATCATTTTGCATTTGATATTTACCAAAGCGTTGATCCATACTTCAAGTCTCTTCCCACAACAGCATAATGGGAACTAGGCACACAAATATGAGCGTTGTTGCAGCCTTTTGATGAGATAGCCAACATGATTTCAGGTTCAACTTACCCAAATTCAAACTTGTACTATAAAAGAGAAATTTAATAAGTATTGGCATGAGTAAGTGAAGTTCTTTCAATGACGGCTGTTTGTGGTCTTAGTTTTAAGTTATCACTCCTAGAGTATTATTTAAGAAATCTGGATGAGAGTATATGTCAATAGAAAATAGAGAACGTGCAAGTAAAACTGAATCTGCTTTTTAAAGCATATTCTAAGCCAGCAGACCAAATCACTCCACCAGTCGGAGAGAACGTACAAGAATCAGTGGCTGCACTTCTTGGAAGATGTGTCATCAATTATGACATAAGTGACTAAGAGCATAAGCATCGCAGAGCTCCATTCGGAGCTGTTTAGAATTTTTTTAACGATAAAAATATTAGTTTTTTTAAGTGTAGAGCTTAGTTTAGGATTTTGGAAATTGACCCTCTCCATTGCACAACTCCGTTTGAGTTCTTTAAAATTAATTTTTTAACATTTTTTTTGTTTGTAATAAAATGAAATGAAATGATAAGATTCATAAAAGAGAAAGTATATTATTATATAAAACACAAAACAAACATATATTACATATAAGATGGGAAAAAACCGCATTACAAGAAAAAAAATATGAAAAACAGATATATTTAGAAACGTTTGAAAACATGATTAATGACCAAATTTGTTCCAAATATGCTCAACCAAATCAGCTTTCAATTGGTGATGCTTTTGTTGGTCACGAATATCAGCTCGATTAGCCATAATATTGTGGACATTCGACGGACAGCTCACACGTACTTGAAGACCCGCTCCCGTCTGCTCCTCCTTGTTGAATTCCGTTCGTATAGTTTCAGCGTCTCTTTCATCTTCCACAATCATATTGTGTAATATGATACATGCCTTCATTATATTCCCTATCTTCTCCTTATCCATGGTAAGAGACGGGTTTTTAACAATTGCAAATCGAGCTTGTAAGACTCCAAAAGCGCGCTCAACTTCTTTGCGGGCAAACGATTGATGGCACAAAATAATTTTGCTTTCGGTTCTCCTGGCTGAGGAATTGGTTTGACAAAAGTCGACCATTCCGGATATATACCATCTGTGAGATAGTAAGCCATCTTGTATCGGTGTCCATTAACAGAGAATGACACCTTAGGAGCTCGACCTTCTAATATATCATCAAACACGGGTGAGCGGTGGAGAACATTAATGTCGTTTAAAGTACCTGGAGGTCCGAAAAATGCATGCCAAATCCACAGATCATACGACGCCACAGCCTCTAAAACGATTGTTGGTTTTCCATGCCCCGTGCATATTGTCCTTTCCATTCCGTGGGACAATTTTTCCACTCCCAATGCATACAGTCAATGCTTCCTATTGAGCCGGGAAATCCACGCGTCTCTCCAACCTTGAGTAATCGTTTGAGATCTTGGTGTAGGCCTTCTGAGGTAGTCCTCCTCGTAAAAATATGATTGCATTAAATTTATGCAAGCATTTCAGCGCAGTGCTCGCTCCTAGTCTGAGGTATTCATCGACTGCATCAGCTGCATTGCCATATGCCAGCATACGAATGGCGGCGTGCACTTTGTAAGCCGGTAGACCAGGCTTTCCAGTACCATCCGGTATGCAAAGAAGGGTAAGTCGGATAGCTTGTTAACTATGCGCATGAACAATGGTCGGTTCATCCGAAAGCGACGTCGGAAAATGGCGTCGGGATATATGCATTCTCACTGAAATAATCATTGATCAAGCGGATGTTCCTTCTTCATATCCTCTCGATCTATGACTCGTTTCTTTTTCTCTTCTTTGGCTCAAGAACTTCATTTATATCATCCAAACATTCTTCAATACAACTCTCAAATTCATCATCTAATGCTTGTTGAAATTCTTCATTGAAAGAAAATGAATTATGAGAAGAAGATGACATCTTTGTGTTGGTGTTGTAAAGGAAAATTTTTGTATATTTAAGAGATTTTTGGTGTTTTAAAGGAAAGTGTTGGTGTTTTTAAGAGAGGTTTTGGTGTTTTAAGGATTATTTTTGGTGTTTTGAAAGAGAGGTATTGGTGTTTTTAAGAGAGGTTTCGGTGTTAAAGTGAGAAGAGAGCAGTGAAACTCGTTTGTAAGGTTAAAGTGAAGCCACTGAAAGCTTTTATATAGGACTCGCATTTTTATGTCTACAAAATGACATTGGTAAGAAACAAGGAGCAAGCTCTCACATGTGACTAGTATTACAAGTCGGCACAAACATACAAAAATTAGTCGGCAGAAACATACAAAAGAAGGTGCACTCACTACATAATATCTTACAAAATGACATAGTAATTAAGTCGGCACAAACATACAAAAGAAGCTACACTCACTTGCTACTTCAAACTCCTTCATTACACCTACATACAAAAGAAGAATAACAGAGACATAAGTTTTCACATAAACATTAGAGACGTAAGTTTTCACATTAACATTAGAGCAAGTGCATTGATCGGAATTGTGATCATTAAAACACAAACAGAGACATAACTAGGAAATCGAAACATTACCTTTTACAAGGTTCGCTTCAGCATTTCCAAGTCGTCTCCCATTTTCTCGGTGGTCTCTTTGAGCAAATTGACACACTCCGTCATCTCTTTTTGACGACAAGCTGCTCCCGTCTCCAACGTTTCAGCCTCCCATTTTGGTAGTTCATTCTCTGTCTCCACCAGCTCTATCTTTAGGTGTATTACTTTTCTCTGAACGAGTCTCATGCGATCATACGATCTCATGAATGCTTCCTGAACGTGCTTGTGTTTCGCCTTGAGAATGTCCAACCGGAGCTTCTCCGAATTGTACAACTCAATTAGGTCCTGCGAGTAGAGTAAACAGCAAGAAGATAAACTCGTTAACCATTAACATTACCAGCAAACAGAGAACATCAAGGAAAGAAGTCATTAACCATTAACGAGAAAGAAACGTAACAGAAAATCAACTTTAAGCTAATAAACATAACAGAAAATCAACTTCTCGGAATGTTCATTAAACTAACATTCTTTATGGTTAATGACTAAATAAATTTGAAACTCAATAATTCCACGATCATAACCATTAACCATTTAACACTCTTGCTACATAACAGAAAACATTCAAATCTTTATTAAACATTACAGAAACTCATCACAATACATAAAACATTAAGAAAACACATAAGTAAACACATAAGAAAACAGAGAACTAAGAAAAACAACATTGAAGACGTTTAAACAAGTTATCAAACATTAAGAAAAAACAGAGACCTTTCACCAAATGCAAAATTACAATATCTGCCTAATCAGCTTTCTCTTAAGCTCTAACTCTATTTCGTCTAGTGGTTCAGTTTTGCATAAGAGATTATCAAGTAGTTTTTTATTGGCTAATATGTTATTGTTAGCAAACTGTTTCTCGCTTAAAGCAGCCACGATTTGGAGACGATTCATAGCAGCCTCCTTGTCTTCGCTTGTTCTAGTTCCCTTCTCGTTCGCTTTCAACTTTGCAGCCTTCGCTCCCTTCACGCCGATTGGTCTCTCTTCCACTTCCTCCTCCATTTGAGTGCCTGCTACGGTAGCTTCAGGCTGAGCTCTTTTACTCAGCGCTTTGCCTTTCCCTTTACAAAGAGAGCACCACTTCTGATCATTTCTCAACATCCTCCACGCATGCCCCAAGGTGAAGTTGGTCTTCTGATCCTGGTTAAACATTTTGTATGCCATTTGGAAGACATCATCTTCTGACTGGCCGCTTGTAGCCTGACGTCCCGCCATCTCAAAGTTTCCGCAAAACTTCTGGACCCCTTCATTTATTTTAGCCCACCTCTGCTTGCAATTATTGGATCCACGTGGAGGAAGGTCTTTCACCGAAGAGCATGCAGAGTAAAACCTTGTTACTCGTTTCCAGAAGGCGCCAGCTTTCTGCTCATTGGCAGTGGTGCCATCTTTGCTCGTGTTTAACCAAGCGCTCACCAGCGCAGCATCTTCAGCTTGTGACCATCTTGTTCTCGCTTCATGGATAGTCCCTGGTGAGGTCTCATCAACACGATCACCATCATCATCAGATATGGAGCTGGTTTGGGTACTAAAGGTGGGTGTTTGGGTACTAAAGGTAGGTGTTTGGGTACAGAAGATGGGTGTTGCGGTGTACCGCTTTGGTTCATGAGTTCGGGGAAGGAGGTAGGGTAACTAGGGTACCTACTGCTGGAAGCCGTTACTTAAAAACGAAGGAAAGAAGACAAGAAAGCAAGACAAGGGTGAGGTTTGTTTAAGTCTTAAGGAAGATGCGTATTCAAGTTGACACAAATGTTTAAGTCTTTATACAAGAATTTTAGGTCATTTAAGTTGATAAGACTAGAATATGTTTTGCGTTTAATGGTTTCGAAAATACACTAAAGATTTTCAGCTGGTTTCACAAAGACATTAAAGGTTTTCAGCTCATTAATCTCAGAGACACTTTAGTGGTTGAGCTCCATTAACTCAACATAAAGCGTCTCAAGCTTCTCGTAATATGTCTCAATAACTATGCAAGCACCAATAAAAACAGAAGTGTGATTCAGTCAATAACCATGCAAACACAAAAACTACAACTACAACCGGAATCAGTTACATTAAGACTAACAATGTTCTAATCAATCACAAACAGAATCGAACACTAACCTGAAGCTTGGAGAACGGATAAGAGTTGTCATCATGAACTCCACCAGCTGCCTTTTTCCGTGGCATCTCGAGAACATGAAAAGAAGAAACAATACTTGTTACTTAAAAGAAAAATCAGAGCATTGAAAGAATAGAACAAACGGAGGAATATGAGAGCGACATCAACTTTTATTAACACCATTTTTAAACCAAACTACAACTAAATGCAACGAGTTTCATCTGCTCTCTACATAACAAGTTCTTCAATATCATCCGCAACTCAACATAAACTGGACTCAACCCACCTCGCAATCCTTCTATACATGAACTATAAGAATCTATAGCATTTATACAAGCAGCAAACTTTGTCACCAGATTAAACAGATGAGATTAAACAGAGATGAGAAATCAAAGGAAGAATCTATAATAGACAGATACACCCTAAACAATTAACACCAAATTCTATCATACAAACAGAGATGAAGCAAGGAACCAATTTTCCCAATTCAATTTCCGATTTACGAGATACATAAATTAGATCAGAACCCAGATTTACGATTCGAGCTTTTCACTTTTCAGATGAAAAACTCAACTAAATCTACTAAACAAGCAACTAATTCAACTAATTTCAGAGTCACTAACCTGAGAATTTCGCGGAATGGCCGGAGATCGCACAGGGAAAATCGCCGGAAATCAAATTGACAATACAGGGGAAAGAGAAGAGTTACTATAACGACAGGACGAAGAAGAAGAGGAAGAAGAAGAGGACGAAGAACGTCGAACAGGGAAGGGATTTACAGAGCAGAGATTGAAGAAAGAGATTTCGATGGTTTCTTTGAAGTCGAGCAAGACGGAGAAACCAAAGCAAAAAAGTTTTCAGAATAGAAAAAAAAAATTGAATACAAAATCCCGACACTTTTTTTTTTCTGCCGAGCTTCCGCGCCTTCCGACACGTGGCAAGTAAAGACGTTTCTTGGGCCTCTTCCGGGAGATACGTCTCTGGGCTTCGACCTGGCCACATGTGTAATTATTTTGCTTTTTCATTTATTTGTGTGCTTGAGAGACAACTAAAACCTGTGCGATGCTTATGCTCTAAATGTGTGTCTTAATATATACTTTGTTTTCTTTTTTTGAGAAAAAGGCAATATATATTTTGTTTTCGCTTAAAAAATGTTACACATGGTCTGTTTACATTGATGTAAGTGAAAGAAAAATGTAAGTACTAGTGGGAAATCTACTTTAGATTTATACTTAGAAGAATTACTAATAAACATGAAGATGTTTTCAGATTTAGATGTCTTCGGTTTTTGGAAAACAAATTCTCATCGCTTTGGAGAGTTATCTATGATAGTAGGATGGCTTGTGATCGTTTAAGTATACCTATCACAATGGTAGCGTCCGAGTCCTCCATTAGCATTGGATCACGAGTCTTGAATAAGTATAGCAGCTGTCTTCTCCCAAAAAATGTTTAAGCCTTGATATGTGCTCATAATTAGGTTTGAGGTTTCGAAGCATATTATGACAATGGTAAGTGGTAACACATATAATTTGTAACATTTCAGATATAGTTTTGTAGTTATATTTAGTGGTAAGTTAATGTTTTGTTGGACAAAACTAGAAGTTGTTGAATCGGATGGGAAGTTGCCTTCAGAGATGTTTGCTTCAATTGTGTAAGTACCACTTGCTACTTTTTGTTAAGAATATTTTATGCTTATGTTACAATTACTTAAAGACTTCGTAAGTGACGCTTGCACATGGTTGTATATATGATCAGTTGAAGTGAGAAACTCTAAACGACAACAAAATGACAACAAGAAGACAAGAGATTATCTAATTTGTTTTTCTTTTAAGTTTGAATTATGTTTGGAGAACAACAACCTATGTTAAACTTATGCCTTTTTGTAACTTTGCAGTCTAAGTCTTGTTGTTTAGATTTCTGTGTTAAACTTTGAAAGACAATTTAACTTTAGCAGGTTTAACCTTTTTTTTTCAAATATGGCGGGTAACGGGTTACCCACCAGACCCGCTTGATTAATGGATGCGAGTATCCAATACACAATTAATGGGTTAAGCGTTTTTTTCTTTTAGATCAATTAACCTGAACCTGCGGCAGGACGGGTCAGGAGGAGCGGAGCTGAACGGTTTGATAGACCTACATTTGCATTTCTCAAACAACTTTGCAAACTTCACCTTATTATCCTCTTCATCACCAGGATGCAGCAACTGCCCTTTGATTAGTTTAATGTCCCTATTATTTTACAAATCACGGATGTGAAATTGTAGTATATAGAGTTAGTGAATTCCATTCAGAGGCATTATAATTATGCTACGATGCTACTAAGACGAAATTAAAGTTAAGAGAATATGAATTGGGGGGTTTGATGAGGGAAACAAAAATAAGAAAGCAAACATTTAAAACAATGCGGAAAATCAATTAAAACAAACGTTGGGCATACATGTTATCTCTAGGATTCAATGATCGAATTATCTATAAAGTATAATAATTTAATTCAAGTTTAGCAAATATTCACAAATTAAAAATATGGATTTATAGTTATCCTACTTTGGTGGTGATAAATACCTAAATTCAACCAATCTATTACTCAACTTTCATAGGAAATAACTTGATGAGATAAGAAATTATGGATTGGTTTGATTATCATTAACAAAGATCCTATAACTCAATTTTCGTATGGTTATTGTACTAAACTCTATGCCAGTCCAAAATTAAACAATTTTGTAGTTCATCATCAACTTGAATCGATCACTAGTAAATTTATGTAGCAATATGCATTAACAATCAAACTTAAATAGAAGAATATTTTAAACAATCATAGATTCAATCCCAAATAAAATGATTCATGAGAGCCACTTTGACTAAAAACCCTTAAACTCAACAAAAAGACTACTCATGTATAACTAAAGTAAACGAAAGAGACATCACTACAAAAAAGAAGGAATTTTACGTCAGTTTTTATTTAGCTTAACGTCATTTATAAACTGACTTTAAAAACTTGGCGTCATTTACTAAAGTGTCGTAACATTCGCTGACGTTAACTTTGTGTGCATCATTTTAAAAACAGACGTTAAATTTAGCGTCATTTTTTTATATATTTTAGCGTTAGTTTTAAATAGCTCATTTTAGCGTCAGTTACGTAAATTGTTTTTGCATTATTATTAAATATCAATTTCTCACTAAATTAATTGCAATTAGGAAATACTGAAAACAAAAATAACTCATAACAATTATTAAATTAAAATCATCAATCTCGACACAACAAAAAGTATTCACTTAATTTTATGTTTTCACACTCATGAATACATAATTACATATGAAAATCCATAATTTTATCAGTTTGCTATAAACATTCTTCCTAGCTTATCTTTCTGCATTTCCCCATCGTCTTTAGCGTCTTCTACTATTTTTTCTTGGAATCAGACTCGTTACAGAGATTACCTATAAAGAAACACCAAAAGTTGGCTCTCTTAAGACTAATTAACGATGAACATTTCACAAGAGATATGATAAAAGCAAGAAGAGGGCATTATCAATCAAATATTAATAAAGAAACACTTACTTTTGACGTTGAACAGCTTAAAAATGCGTTCACTGGTCAAAAAGGAAACACGCATCAAGTGAACCAGTGACTTGAACTTAAAAGTCAAGCTCCAGCTTTCTGTTTCAATTTTACTTGATTATCTTCTCTTAAAGATGAAACAAACCCAAGAAAGAATTTAAGAAACAAAATATATGAGAGGAAGAATACGAACCCTCCTTGAAAATTGGACTGCCGCTTTAAACTTCTTGAATATACGGTCCCTGTTACTTTTTTATTCTTCCTTTTGCATAACTTGCTCTTACTCCATCCTGAACACACAAGATCCTTTTCACATAAGATAAGAATAGCTTTAAGAAGATGATGAACATACGGCCATCAACAAAATATCCAAAATGTGTCATCAACAAACGAAGAGCTTTAGTCATCGTGTCACAGTTTGACACTTTTCAAATAACGAGAATGCATAACAAAACACGATTTCCAAGCATCCATTAAGCAAATAGATTAACCTGAAATTCTTGGAAGCAGATGAATCCGGTACAGATAGAGAAGAAAGTCCAAGCAATCTGAAACATTGGAACTATGAGAATTGCATCATAAATAGATAATCATTCATTTAACCTTGTCATCTGCAACATAAGTACACAAAATACATTTTAACTTTAGTAACTTCATCGTCTCAATGGCACAACAAAATAGAAAAAAAAAAAAATCAATAGCTTAAGAAGTTAAAGAAACATAGAGCATGAGAACTAGTTGTGCAATTGATAGCTACTAGACATGGCCAATCTCAGCAAGTTTGAGCTGCAAAATGAAACTCACAATTAGCACTAGAAGCCATGTGCATAGCTTATGAGCTTATTCAAGTAAAGCCACCAGATTTACAAACTCACAGTCACTTTGGCGGATAAAACTAAACATGGTCATAAAGCGCCAGAGACGACCAGAGCATATGAGAAAGGAAGCAAATAATTCCAGACTACAATTTCAGAACGAAGACTCACCTGTAGAGGAAATGGTTTACGGCTACGATTAACATCAAGTTGCGTCGCCTCCAGATCTGAGATTTGTCACCAAAAACCTTAACAGAATTATTTACAAATCACACAATCTTAACTTAAATTCTCAATTGAAGCTATGATCAGGTTAATCAATCGGAAACAGAACAAAGCCCTATGAAAATTCTACTTTACTAACCATCATCTTCGAGTTCGAGGAATTTGAAGGAGACAAACAAATTCTCAAACGAAGATTCAGAGTAGAAATTGTGTGCCTTCGGATCCAAATCCAATCCAATAGAGAAAAACGATCTCAAAGGAATTAGGGATGCAAGGTCACGAAGAAGATGATACGGATTCTCAAACGGAGATTCAAATGCGAATCGTAAAAGGAAACCTAATTGATTTCGAAAGAGAAACTCAGCGACGATGAATCAGAAAAGAATTTAAGTAATTTTTGTTTTAATGATATTAGTAAAAAGGACGTGATTTTACGTCATTTGAACTTTTGACGTTAAATTACTTCATTGTCTAAGATTTAACGTCGGTTTTTTTTTTTTTATTAACCTCTGGAACAAGTTACCCAATTACAACATATTGTCCACTGTAATCTGGTTTTTAATCCAATTTGGCACAATAGAGTACACCTTAGGTGCATCAATCATAAATGAAAGAGCCTCCTTCGCTACTCTATCTGCTGCCTCATTTCCCTCTCTTGGTTGGAAAGCAAAAACAACCTCTTTGAAGTGTGTTGCCATAGATCTAATATCACTTAGTCCCTGGTGTAGCATTGGCCATTCCTCCTCTTCGTTGATCATCTTGAACGTCGGTTTTGAAAATGACTTTATTAAACTGACGTTATCCACCGTATTTCTTGTAGTGCATGATGAATTGCATAGTGTAAAGAACGAAAATAATAAAGTAGTAGGATTCATAATCAACTCTTGTTCCCTTTAACAAACGAAATAAATAATCAAGGAAAGCTAAAGAGTTTTTCTAAAGTGATTTGTGTATTTAGTGATGACTAGGTTGATACCCGCGCTCCGCCGCTGGAGACTTTTATTGTAATTTTTCTCATGTTTTAAATAATCAAATTATAAATATTATATTCTGATATTTTAATTCAGTCTCCATTATATTATTTTTCTATTAAACAATAATAGTTTTACTAAACATAGGATCTGGACCCAAAAAAAAGTTGTTATAGACGCTGGCGTTTCGACGGTGTTTGGAAACCAGTCAAATTATCGATCTCCATTAGAATAAGAATAGACAAAAGTTATTAGAAATATATGAATCAACACTCACAGATCATGCTAAGTCACCAGGTTTTTATGATGAACATATTAAACTACCAGCAACCATAGAGACTGAAAAAAACGAAATACTGAACTGATATTAATTTTTGTGTATAAAAAGTATTATCTTCATCAACTTAGCCGCAACAATAACAACAGATGTACTTCCATCACCAACTTCTCTGTCCTGGAGCTGGGCTAACTACACAAGAACCTGTTACATTAACAGAAGATAAACAGATACCAGCGTCATTAATAATTCATATAATACGCATAAAGATATAAAATTTTAAGTTTTGTTGATACAACAATATCATCCCTATACGTTCATATAATTCAACGCATTCGTCTGTTCTCTCATTCACCGTGTCTTTCATGAACTGGTCTTTTAGATAGACATGAGCACCATGAATCTCTACTACATCGAAACCTGCAGCAACAACAACATTCAAGTAAACATATATAAGTCTTGAATAAGATTCTTAAGTTTCAATCCTTCGTTTTATCTCTTACCAGCTTCCATAGCGTTTCTTGTTGTGAGCCTAAAATATTGACAATGCCTGAAGTTTTTTTCAGTACTTAGCGGTCTTGGAGGGGTAAATCATAGATTATAAACACGGCCATCATGCCAAATCTAACAGAAGAAGATGCCACCTTTGGCATGAACAGCATCAACGATTGGCTTCCATGCTTCCACATGCTCTTTCGTCCATATCCCATGAGTATATTTATAGCTTCGAGAACAAATCAAACAAAATTTGGAGGTTTAGTTTCAGTCTCACATCAAAACCTCAAACTTTAATCAAAATGAGTGGGAGGTATATTTCGCAGTCACAGATCAAAACCCACAAATGAGCAGAGAGGAGATGCTAATTAGTTACCCTTGGGTTGCATATGAAACTCCGATGGCTTAAGATGAGAAAACCTCATGGGCTAGACCTCTCTTTGCATGTTAAAATCAAGAAAGAAAATAAACTCGCTCAATCCATGGAAAGAGAGGGTCATCTCCATCTAACTCATCTATGTTGATTCAATAACAGACTGGTAGGATTCGAAACCTGATTTAACGACAGAAAAACCAAGAGTAGAAGAATTTGTAATTGAAAGTGTTACCTCCGTTTCTCCACGAGATTCTTACTTAATTGGTGGTCGGAGTGAGATTTGGGAGCATGACAGTAAAGCTTAGTTGGAAGGATTGGTGTCGATATAAATCAAAGAAGAAAATATGAAATTGAATTTTTTCCTTAATCGGAAATTGGAATCGCTGCTGAGCGAAGAAATAGTATGTGAAGAAGTCGACATCGGTGGAAGAGGAAGAAGCTTTAATCGAAGAAGAGAGATGTTGGAATCTACGTGCTGTTGACGGGGAGATTTGTTCGCCGAATGGATTTGATTTCGTGGATTGTTTGAAATTGTTGCAAGTAGAACTGTAGAAGCTAGGGTCGAAGAAAAGAGATACGTCGGAACGGGGACAGGGACGGAGAGATTTCTTCAGGCGAATGGCTTCGATTTGTGGAAGAAGAAAGAAACAAAACCGGGTCATGGAAGAAGTAGAAATAAACCAAACGAACCGAGTCAAAAACGTGGCAATTATTATTTAGAATGTTTCCATTGGTTGCTTGCTTTTAATGATGTGTCAGATGTAGAAACCTTAAAAAATCCTATGTGTCATCACCTGGAGAGGTATAGGGACTTTTGCTGTGTTGATTTTCGTCTTTGCCTTGAACCCTGTTTTATAGTCGTATTGAAGTTTAAAGGACTGGCAGTGCTATGATACAATAAGATCGTGAGCGAATTGTAAACGTAACTCAGTAATCAATCGAATTCCAATGTTCATTAAACAACGAAATTCCTCACCTCAAGAATTACAATCCAGAGAAGGGATTCTTCGAGGTAAAGCGTATGAACAAAAGAGAGAAAACGATAAAACTGTATAACAACTTTTCAATAATAATTCCTATTTCTTGTTAGCTCTAACTTTAATGCTCCAATCTTGCTCCCGTTTTAATCCTGAGCATTGATCTTTACATTAAATCATAGTCGTACAATTATTCACTCCGTAAATCCCTTTTACTATATCAAATCCTCCCCTTCCAAGCAACCAAGTCCTCATGATTGAAAATCAGGAAACCTCTGAGACAAATCCAACAAAAACTCCCACGTTGCCTCACTTTCATCTTCATTTGTTCATTTCACCAACACTTGAGTCACAGCTCTGTTAAGGCGCTTAACCGTTCGATGTTCAAGGACTCTCTCTGGTTCTTTTGTCAACAAGTCAGGGATGACATTGGGGAGTTGAGTTGTTGTGACGGCATCACCAACACGCAACTTGAGTTGAGAGACGTGAAAAACAGGGTGGATCCGGCTCGTACTTGGCAACTCCAACTTGTAAGCAACCTTGCCACACCTATCAAGGATCTTATAAGGGCCATAATACTTCGGTGCCAATTTCTGATTGACCCTCATAACCACAGAACCTTGGCGATATGGCTGCAACTTCACCTACACCAAATCTCCAATACGAAAACTCCGCTCTGAGCGTCGCTTATTCACCTGCTGCTCCATTCGATGCTGGGCGCGTAACAAATGAAATTTCAAGATAAGTAACATTTGCTCACGGTCCTGCAAATTCCTAGCCACCACCGCCACTTTACTTTCTCCAGGTATGTAAGGCAAATGTTGAGGTGGGGGTTGACCAAAGACTGCCTCATAAGGAGTCATCTGGGCCGAGCTATGGTAGGTGGTATTATACCAAAACTCAGCAAGAGGCAACCACTTACTCCATAAATGTGGTCTCGCACTGCACATGCATCGCAGATAAGTCTCCAAGAAACGATTCACCACTTCCGTTTATCCATCACTCTGAGGGTGGTAAGCGCTAGAGTAGTTCAACGCAACACCCTGTAATGTGAAAAGCTCTCGCCAAAACTCGCTCAAGAATACGGCGTCTCTGTCACTCACAATAGAAGTAGGAAGACCATGGAGCTTGAAGACGTTGTCCAGGAATGTTTGAGCCACCGACATCGCTGTGTAAGGATGAGACAAAGCCATAAAATGAGCGGCTTTAGTCAATCTATCCACTACCACAAAAATAACTGATTTCCCGCAAGACAGAGGAAGGCCATCGATGAAATCCATGGAAATATCAGACCATATCGAAGTCGGAATTGGCAAGGGTTGAATCAGACCAGGGGATGCAGCTGTATCATACTTACACTGTTGGCACACCGCACAGTTCCGAATGAAACTCTGAATGTCCTTAGACATACCCTTCCAGTAAAAGATTCCTTTGACTCGCTGATGAGTAGCATCACGGCCAGAATGACCACCAATACCAGAGCAATGCAACCAGTCAAGTATCGCCGTACGAACAGAATCAACAGCAGGCACCACAATCTTACTTTTCCTCCTTAAGATATCTCTACTCCACGTAAACTGCTTCCTCTCGGTTGGGTTAGTCTGTAGGTCTGAGATGACGGATTGGATCCACGGATCACTCACATAGCCAGCCTGAATCTGTTGAAGCAAGTCACAATCCAAAACCGATAAAGCCATGTGTAAGATTTCAGAACCTTCGACACGAGACAGTGCATCTGCCACCAAATTCTCTTTCCCTTCCTTGTACTGAATCTCATAATCAAATTCCAACAACTTGGGAAGTCATTGTTGTTGAATGGGTGTGTTAAGTCTCTGTTCCAACAAATACTTCAAGCTACGCTGATCAGTCTTGATCACAAAATGACCATTGAGAAGATAATGGCGCCATTTTTGGACCGCAAAAATGACCGCTAATAATTCTTTTTCGTAGATTGAAAGGTGTAGTTGCTTCCCTTTCAAATGACGGCTGATATAGGCCAGAGGATGACCATCTTGCATCAGTACCGCACCAATGCCCTGACCCGAAGCATCAGTTTCCACTACAAAAGGTCGATCAAACCGTGGCAAAGCTAACACTGGAGCTGTGCATAAAGCCTTCTTCAAAGCACAAAAAGCTTCGTTGGCGTCTTCCGACCATAAAAAAGAATCCTTCTTCGTCAACAACGTTAAAGGTCGGGCGATTGTGCCAAAATTTCTGAAAAATCGTCTGTAATACCCTGCTAACCCCAAGAACCCACGTAATTGTTTCAGACTTGTAGGTGTAGGCCATCGCTCCACTGCTCCAATCTTGCTCGGGTCAGTAGAAATGCCACGTTCTTCAATAAAATGGCCAAGATACTCAACCCTCCGTGTGGCAAAGGCACATTTACTATGTTTGGCAAACAACTTCCTCTCCGTCATTATCTTGAAAACACAAGCAAGATGGTTGGCATGATCCAACACGGAATTACTGTATATCAGAATGTCATCAAAGAAGATGAGGACAAACTTCCGCAGAAACTCCTTAAATGTGGCATTCATCAAGCCCTGGAATGTAGTGGGGGCGTTGGTCAAGCCGAAAGGCATAACCATGTACTCATAATGATCACTGTGCGTCTTAAAAGCCGTCTTGTGGATATCCTCTGGTTCCATTCTGACTTGGTGATAACCTGCTCGCAAGTCTATCTTCGAATAGATACTAGAACCACCCAACTCATCCATCAAATCTTCAATCAAGGGAATAGGAAACCGGTCCTTCACCGTGAGTCCATTCAAACTCCGATAATCGACACACAAACGCCAAGATCCATTCTTCTTTTTAACTAAAACCACCGGAGAAGCAAAAGAGCTTGAACTCTGTTGAATAGTTCCCCCATCTAACATCTCCTAGACAATCTTATCAATCTCATTCTTCTGGTGAACCGCATAATGATAGGGACGTTGATTCACCGGATTGGCTCCTTCAATGAGCTGTATTTTGTGGTTGTGGTTTTCACGAAAAGGTGGAAGCTCCACTGGTTCCGCAAAAATATGCTTAAACCGGTCCAACAATGATAAGATTTCCGGGTGTATCGTTTCAACTGAAGTCTCTGCTTCCAACGAAAAAAGTGTAGTTTCACACGGTTCATCCTCAGCAGACACACACAGCATAGACAGTTGGATTGATTCATCCTGTAACTTATTCAACTTCTCGGCCTTAATAGATCGCACTGACCCCGGATGAATACCATTGAGCACCACTTTCCTGTTACACCAAAAAAACTTCATAGACAAACGCTGAAAATCCCAAGTGATGGGTCCAAATTTCTTAAGCCACTGAACTCCCAACACCACGTCACAACCGTTCAACGGAATTATCATGAAGTCATCCGTAAAACTCGTCCCCTGAAAATCCCATTGAAACTGAGCTACACGTGCATCAACCTTCAGTCGATTCCCATCAGCTACCAAAACTCGTGAATTACCAGATGGTAACAGCTTACACCCCAGTTTCCTAGCCATTGATACATCCAAAAAGTTGTGAGTTGAACCAGAATCCACCAACATAAACAAAGAGCGTTTGTTGTGAACTCCCTTGACCCTCATGGTGTGATAATCTGTGACCCCTGTCAAAGCATTCAGTGAGATTTGAGCAATTTCTCCCACAGCCTCATCTTCATCTGTGTCTGACTGCAACTCTTCATCCTCCAAACGATCATCGGAAACCATACAGAACAACTGTGTATCCTTGTGAGTGAGAAAATGCTCCCTGGAGTACTTCTCCGGACAATAGTAACATTCGCCTTTAGCTCTCTTATCTGCCATCTGCTCAGGAGTGAGGAAAAGCTGAGGTTTCATACCACGTTTCTCAACAGGCTTCGTCTTAGGCTGAAAAGTACCAAAATCCTTCTTGAATCCCGAAGTGGTCTTAGGAGCTGGAGAAGGACGTGCATTGTTCCCTGATGGAACGGAACCAGTGACGGGATGAGCTTTCTCATACAGCCTTCCCAACATCAAGCATTGACGCACAGTTTGAGGATCAAACATCCTGACATGCATCTGCGTCTCCAAACTCAACCCTGCCAAATAGTGACGCACCAAATATTCCTCCGAGAAATTTACTCGCGTTCTGATGTTCTCAAATTTGTTGTGAGAGTCAATGATGCCATCAGTTTCACAGAGCTTCTTCAACTCCAAAATCGGGTCATCCAAAACATCATTAAACCTCTCCTTCAACAACTTCTTATAAACTCGCCAATCCTTGAGATTAAGATTGTTGAATTCCGACTGGAACATGGATTGATGCCAGGTAGCCGCGAGCTCATCCAAATGAATTGAAACAATGGCAACCTTAATCTCATCTGGTGTATGATCAATTTCAAAAAACTGCTCCGCCTTAAACAACCATTCCGTCAATTTGTCACCATTAAACCGAGGAAAATCCAACTTCGCTAACCTCGTCACGCCGGCGTAATTAATCGGCATGCCAGGACGTGTCGGCGGAGCCGCATCGGAAGCTGCCGCTGGTGTCGATGAACTTGGTGCTGTAGGCGGACGAGCGATCAATCGCATAGCCTCGAACATTTCCGCGTTGTTACGCGCGATCGTATTATTCTGTTCCATGATCATCGCATTCTGCTTTGCGATTGCTTCCTCCAACGTCTGTGTACGCTGTAACACTAGATCAATCCGCGAAGATCCAACCTCCTCCGTCTCCGAGTTACTGGATTGGGATCGTGTTTCAACCATTTTCCGAGAATCGTCGAGCTTGCTGATACCTTTGATACAATAAGATCGTGAGCGAATTGTAAACGTAACTCAGTAATCAATCGAATTCCAATGTTCATTAAACAACGAAATTCCTCACAAACCTCAAGAACTACAACCCAGAGAAGGGATTCTTCGAGGTAAAGCGTATGAACAAAAGAGAGAAAACGATAAAACTGTATAACAACTTTTCAATAATAATTCCTATTTCTTGTTAGCTCTAACTTTAATGCTCCAATCTTGCTCCCGTTTTAATCCTGAGAGTTGATCTTTACATTAAATCATAGCCGTCCAATTATTCACTCCGTAAATCCCTTTTATTATATCATGCTAGGGTTTTGTCTTTGAAGAAGAAATGCTGAAAATCCTAGACATACTTTAGCTTGTTGAAATCTTGGGTTTTAAGTGACTTGGTCCGTGGAGAGCTCATCATGTGCCTTCAAGGCTTGGCAGTGGCTGCTACCGTGCTATGGAGGTGTTGGACCCGCGGGGTGGAGGTATTGGAGATCATACTCCACGAAAAGTTTGATAACTTGAGATCGCACCGTTGGATTGTTGACAAATTGGTTGGAGAAGAAAAATGACTCTCTAAGCTAGGTTTCCCCGAATTTGAGCTTGATCTATTGGAGAAAAGGCTTTGATACAGTGCCGAACTTCTGATATATAGGAAATATGAAATCTTGTGTTTAATTCTTTTTGTGCCATTTTGTCTAGATAACTTGTAAAGATGCACGACTGCAAGAAAACACTAGTTTTTTTTTTAAATAACACTAACTTTTTCTTATTAACAGGATTAACATAATAATAATGAGGATGTTGTCCCACACTTTAACATATGTTGTTGTCCAAGAGTTTAACTTTATGAATACCATAATAAATCTTAGCGAAATATATGATTACACTACATTCCACTAAAAATTCATCATTTACTATATTTTTATATTTGTTTTGTTGAATAGGTAGATTCCACATTTTTGGTGGAAAACTAACTTCTTCAGCTGAAATTTGTCCACCTCCACAAAGTCTGAGAAATTAAGCAGTATAACAGATTTTGTGATTTTCACATATTTTATTATATAAAGCTGGATGCGCGCGACGTGGTTGCGACACGTAAGATTTTTATAAAATATAGGATTGCGACATGTGTCACTTTTAATGTTATATCCGTTAAGATCGTGACACATGTCTTAAGGGAAAAAAATTTTTATTTTAAAGGAAAATTTTTAATATCTTATAATAAAAACGAAATTTTATATAATAAAATGAAAATAATGTAATAAAAAATTCCTATTAGTATATGGAATAGGTATGTAAACTAAATATCCTAAAATTGTATGGAATAGTTATATAAACTCCTATTTAAAAAAATCCTATTAGTACATGTAATAGGTATGTAAACTAAATATCCTAAAACTGTATGAAATTGGTTACATGAACCCCCTATAAAAAGAGAGCTATTGTAGTCTCTTTTTCTCATTCACAAACTCATCAAAGCAAATTCAGAAAATCTCTTTGATTCTCTTTCTCTAATTTCAAAATCATGTCTTTGAAAGTTCAAGAGAACAGTGGAGATTATTTGACTCTAGGTCAATTGGATCGAAATTAAAATTATTTGAATAAAATCCTATTAGTACATTAGGAAAAATCAGAAAACAGGAAACAAACAATTAAAAAGAAAAAATATTACATCCATTATGAGAAGTAAAGAAAAAACATAATTCTATTACGAAAAGGAAAAAAAACGAAAATCAGAAAAACATGAAGAAATAATTAAAAAATGTTACATCCAATAAGAAAAGGAATAAAAAACATATTCCCATTACGAAAATGAAAAAAAAACAATATATAACAAGCTATATTTTTTAAGTTTCTTTCTCATTAAGAAATAAAATTCATGTCTTTAAAAGTTAAAGATATCAATGAAGAATACTTAACTTTAGATCGATACATGTGTCTAATATTTGATGAAGTGATGACATGTGTCAACACAAGAAAATTGGAAAAATGTAGTAACATAAATAAATAAACTAACAAAATAATATTAAAACAACTAACTAATAATGAAAATGAAAATTTATAATGGTCAGAGGCAAAAACGAAATTGAAAAAGAAACAATATAAATAGAAAACTAACAAAATAATTATTAAGGAACTAAATAATATTAAAAAAGAAAATTTTATAATGGACTGATCTTCTAATATTAAATAGTTTAATTTTCCATGTTTTGTTAGGTAAAAATATTAAAAATAAAGATTTCATCATGGAATAATCAAAGTTTCATAAAATAATGAGTCGATTAGATTTAGACACATGTAAATCTTTCTATTTCATATCATGAATTCAAAATAAAAATGTAAAAGACTACATATCTTTATTTAGAGATTTGTTATCGGTTTTTAATATTATTTTCTTATTTTTAAAATTGATCAAATTTTGTTTAATATTCTTCCGTGATTTAAAAAAATAAAAATAAATAAACCGTACGGGGCCTAATCTAATTAATTATATCTTAAAATAAAAATAAAGTTAATTAAAAGATAATTTTGGAGCTGCTTTTACATCATATACTGAGTGTATCTGAATTATGATTTCTTTCTTCTTGAAGTGGTTAAGCATTCAATAACAATAAACTTTGAAAATATTTTATTTTACATAATTTGAAAATATATAACAAAGAATTAGGTTAAGAAACGAATGCATTTATTCTCAATAAATACCAATAACATAGCAAAGGTTTCAGATCAGCCGTAAAAGAAAAAACACACAAAAGTCTTTTTTTTTTTTTTTTTTGATAAAGGATTGTCTTTAATTTAAAATAAAAAGAAATACAGAATTTTTTTTGGGTTTTTTATAGACCTTCAAACAAAACAAAACTAACTAAAGAAGGTCCAACAAAATAAAAGCCCATAACTTAGCCCAAATGGGTCCGGTTTTGACTAAATCCTAAACCGGTCAACCCCCAAGCCAGGATTGAACCGGAACTCGAAAACCCTAGATCTATAGCGAGGAGACAGAGCCGCCGCCGCCGCTAGGGAAGAAGAGGCCGCCTCGACGAGAACCACCACTCCAAACACTCCTACACGCCATCTTCAAAGATCTCGCCGGAAAAGGAAGTGAGGAGACAGATCTGCAGAGGAAAGAGCCGATCCAGCACAAACCCTAGAACCACCGTGAAAGCAGCCGTCGAGAAGCACCGTCGCCAAAAATCAGCCGCCGCCAGAGATCCCTTTTCAAGAGCCGTCCACGCCCTCAAACGAACGACCTTACTCATCAGACCTCCTTTAGTTCAAGCTCCCAAGAACTCCACGTCACCACCACCGAGCAGACCATACCGCGAGAGATCTCACCACCACAAACCGCCGGAGCAATTAAGCCTATCACCGAGGAGAGAAGATGAAGGAGTGGAAACCAGAGGGCAAAGTTTGAGGAAGCTTCACTAGATCTAGTCCTCAATCAATCCAGATCCGCAAAACCCGCCTCCGAGAATCACTGACGCCTCAACGCAGAACTGCAACCTAGAGGCTAGGAAATATCACCACCGAGAATGAAGAACCGGCTAAAAAGAAAGGGAAATAAAATGAAAGCCCTCTCACGGCGCCGACAAGCGGCCACCGGAGAGGCAGAGAGGCACGACGGAGATGTAGAGAGAAGAGAGAGCGTTTTTTCTAGAGAGAGAACGATTGTCTCCCAGCTAGATAATTTTATTGCAAGAATTCTCAAAAACAGGTTATTGTTATAAATAAACTAAAACTGTACCACTATATTTGATATAGTGGATGATTAAGTTTAAGTAATAAAGAAGAAGAAGAGAGGTGTGATAGAGAGAGAGAGTTACTATGTAGGTGAGAAGGAGATGGAGAGAGATAGGTTGTACGTGGAGGAAGAAGAGAGAATATAGAGTGAATTTCTTTCTATTGAACTTTCTGTTTTGTATTAACTTAACTTAATACAAGCATGAACTCTCTATTTATAGAGGGACTAAAATATTAAACTATGACAAGTCGGTAATGAAGTCGTAAGAAAACTTAGTGTAGAAGTAAATATTAAATATTCATAGGGATAATTATCCTTTCTAACACTCCCCTTAATTATCCGCTAAGTATTATGTACGGTCTCGTTAAAAAACCTATGTCATAGAAAAACCCAATGGGATAAAAACTATGACTTAGGAAAAAGAGTACCGTAGCATAATCTCCCCTGGAAAAGATATAATCTTTTCTTTTCACAAGTTTTGAGACGACGCATTCCGATACTGTGAACATGCTTCTTGAACACTGTAGTAGGAAGCGCCTTTGTAAAAAGATCGGCTGCATTGTCACTTGAACGAATATACTCGATGTCCACTTCTTGATTTTTCTGGAGTTCTTGAGTGTATGAGAAAAATCTTGGAGGAATATGCTTCGTTCTGTCACTCTTGATATAACCTTCTTTGAGTTGTGTGACACATGCAGAATTGTCTTCAAATATTTTTGTTGGCTCTTTCTCTGTGACTATTCCACTTGATTCTTGTATGTGATGAGTCATAGACCGGAGCCACACACACTCTCTACATGCTTCATGGAGAGCAATAGTTTCTGCATAATTTGAAGACGTTGCAACCAAAGTTTGCTTTTGCGAACGCCAGGAGACCGCGGTTCCACCAATTGTGAAAACATAACCTGTTTGTGATCTAGCTTTGTGTGGATCTGATAGATATCCTGCATCAGCAAAACCAACTAAAACACATTTTGAGTTTTTAGGATAAAATAATCCTAAATCAATTGATCCTTGAAGATAACGAAAAATATGTTTTATTCCATTCCAATGTCTGCGCGTAGGGGACGAACTATATCTTGCAAGCAGATTAGTAGCGAATGCTATATCTGGTCTAGTGCAATTTGCAAGATACATTAGTCCACCAATAGCGCTCATGTAAGGTACTTCAGGACCTAACACTTCCTCGTTATCCTCACAAGGACGGAATGGATCCTTTTCAACATCAAGAGATCTATTAACCATTGGAGTACTCAAAGGAGTTGCTTTGTCCATATAAAAGCGTTTTAACACTCTTTTAGTGTAATTTGACTGATGCACAAATATACCATCTTGGAAATGCTCTATCTGGAGCCCAAGACAAAACTTTGTCTTTCCAAGATCTTTCATTTCAAACTCTTCTTTCATATGAGTTCTTGCATCATCAATTTCCTTTTGAGTTCCAATCATGTTCAGGTCATCTACATATACAGCAATAATCACAAATCCTGACGAGGATTTCTTAATGAATACGCAAGGGCATATCGCATTGTTGACGTAATCTTTACTCAACAAATATTCACTTAAGCGATTATACCACATGCGTCCGGACTGTTTTAGTCCATAAAGTGATCGCTGTAATCTGACCGAACAGATCTCTTAGCCTTTGATTTCAAATCCTCAGGCATTTTTAATCCTTCTGGGATTTTCATATATATCTCATTTTCAAGAGATCCATATAGATATGCTGTCACAACATCCATGAGATACATTTCAAGATTTTGAGACGCTGCTAAGCTCATCAAAAATCTGAATGTTATGGCATCCATTACCGGGGAATATGTTTCTTCATAATCAATTCCCGGTCTTTGAGAAAAACCTTGAGCCACAAGTCGGGCTTTATATCTTGTGACCTCATTTTTCTCATTTCTTTTTCTTACAAAAACCCATTTGTGCCCGACGGGTTTTGTATTCTCAGGAGTTGTGACAATAGGTCCAAAAACACTTCTTTTATTGAGGGAGAGTAATTCAGCTTGGATGGCCATTTTCCATTTCTCCCAATCAGGTCTTTTCAGACACTCTGATATTGTTTCTGGATCTGGATCATCACTTTCATGATCAATTCTTTGTATACAGAAAAAGAGAATATTCCATCATCATCTTCTATTTCATTTCTTGTCCATACTTTTCCATTTTGGGCGAAGTTGATGGAAATCTCAAATTTTTCTGTATCATGTTCGTCTTCTGGACGAATCTCTTTCTCTGGTTCTTCAAAAACCAGTTTGTTTATGTCTTCAGGACATATTTCTTTACTAGGTTCTTCTTGAACCTTCTCTCCCAAATTCTTTTTCTTTCGGGGATTTTTATCTTTAGAGCCCATCGGCCTCCCCCTCTTTAATTGGACTTTGGGTGCATTTGCTATGCTTCCATCATTTTGTTCCTTAGAACATCTATCTTTGATGGAACGTTTGCAGCGGGTATATATGATTTCGTCACTCTTTTTGTATCTGTGAACGAATCTGGTAATTGATTTGCCATATTTTGTAAATGTATAATTTTCTGAACTTCCAATTCGCGTTGTTTTGTCGGGGGATCAAAGTGTACAAATTCGGTGTACACCATGTGAGGTCTTTTGGAACCTCTTTAATTCCTCCCCCTAACGCTGGAAATTCATCTTCATTAAAATGGCAATCGGCAAAACGTGCCGTAAACATATCACCAGTTTGAGGTTCAAGATACCGAATAATACTCGGTGACGTATACCCAACGTATATTCCCAATCTCCTTTGTGGCCCCATTTTTGTTCTTTGTGGCGGTGCTATCGGAACATAAACCGCACAACCAAAAACACGGAGATGGGATACGTTTGGCTCCTGACCAGATGCTAATTGTAATGGGGAATATATATTATAAGCACTTGGTCGTATTTGGAGCAACGCTGCAGCATGCAAAATAGCATGACCCCATATTGAAATTGGGAGTTTTGTTCTCATTATTAACGGTCTTGCAATCAGTTGCAACCGTTTAATCAAAGACTCAGCCATGCCATTTTGTGTATGGACATGTGGAACCGGATGCTCAACATCGATTCCCAATGACATGCAATAGTCATTAAAGGCTGTGAAGTGAATTCACCAGCGTTATCTAATCTCACTTTCTTAATAGTATAATCAGGGAATTGTGCTCTCAACCTGATTATTTGGGCAATGAATCTTGCGAAAGCCGTATTTCGTGTTGTCAAAAGACACACATGTGACCATCTACTTGATGCGTCAATTAATACCATAAAGTATTGAAACGGTCCGCATGGTGGGTGAATAGGCCCACATATATCACCGTGTATTCTCTCTAAGAACACAGGGGATTCATTCCCAACTTTCGCTGGTGATGGCCGAGTTATGAGTTTTCCTTGAGAACATGCATTACATATGAACTCGCCCGTTTCTAAAATTTTCCCGTATTTCAACGGATGGCCATTTGAGTTTTGCACAATTTTTCTCATCATGACTGAACCTGGATGCCCTAGCCTTTCATGCCAGATTTTGAATGTACTAGTAAACTTCGGGTTTACTGTAACATATGATTCAGTCAGAGTAATATTTGTGCAATATAATCCGGAGGACAACATTTTCAATTCTTCCAATATTTGTCCCTCCGATTTGATGCAAAGGATTTCAATGCCATTCTTATTTATAGTCTCTATGTGATACCCATTTTTACGGATATCCTTGAAACTTAATAAGTTTCTGTAAGACTTCGGGGAATATAATGCATCATTTATTTCAAACTTTGTTCCCCTTGGCATTGAAAAATTGGCTCTTCCAGAGCCCAATATTATTTTTGCACCACCAGAAATGGTATTCACGCTTTCAACGGAATCTTTAATTTTGAGACCGGAGAAATATCTTTTATCTTTGAGTATTGTGTGCGTTGTAGCACTGTCTGCAAGACACATATCTCCATCACGAGTCTCAAATTTCGTCATTTCTGGATTTAACAAAGATGCATTAATAAGTATTAAACAATACAAAGCTTATATCACAAGATACAAAATACCACATTAAAAACTATTTTACAACAAAAAGATCAAACTTTTAGGTTATCTTATTCAGGAAGATAACTATGTATATCATGTCCTTTTAGTCGTCTGTTTTTCCGTTGATCTCTTCGGAGTCAACCAGAAAATCTGAAACATCAAGATGAGTATCATCGTTTAGGCCGTGAAAGGAAGGCCGGGTTCACTGGAGATGAAGTTAGTCTCACTTTCTTTCTCCTTTGCTTTTTGTGATTCCCGGTATAGATCGGCTAAGTGTCTGGGTGTACGACAAGTACGCTCCCAGTGATTTTTCATGCCGCATCTGTAGCAAACACTTTCTTTTTGCTTTTTAGAATCTCGGCCGTAATCATTTGCTCGAGATCTTTTATATTCCTTTCATTGTTGGACTCGTCGGGACGGTACTCTTTTCCTTGTCCCCGACCACGTCCACGGCCACGGCCACGACCTCGGTTTCGACCGTATCCACGTCCACGTCCTCGTCCATTATTTTGGCTGGACGATGCTACATTCGCTTCTGGGAATGGAGCAGCTCCAGTGGGACGAGTCTGATGGTTCATCATCACAAGCTCGTTATTCTGTTCTGCAACAAGGAGAACTTCCATTAATTTTGAATAACGAGTATAGCCATTTGCCCGATATTGTTGTTGCAGGACTATATTTCCAGGGTGAAATGTGGAGAGCGTTTTTTCAATCATATCATAATCGCTCACATTTTCTCCACATAGCACCATTTGGAAATTATTCTGAACATAGCAGAATTATATTCAACAACACTTTTATAGTCCTGAAATCGGAGGTGTAGCCACTGGTATTTGGCTTTGGGCAAATCTATATATTTTTGATGGTCAAATCTTTCTTTCAAAGATTGCCAAAGATCCGCAGGATCTTCTTTAGTGATGTATTCATCTTTTAAACCATCGTGGATGTGATGAAGAAAAAGATCATGGCTTTCGCCTTTTTGTCATCGGATGTTTCTTTCGACTTGTCAATGGCATCAAGAAGCCCATTTCCTTTTAGATGCATTTTTGCACCTATTGCCCATGTCATATAATTGTTTCCAGAAATATCAAGGGCGGAAATTTCGAGCTTTAGCCAAATTTGACATGATATCTGCATAGATCATATACCAGTTCATTAATTAAAAATCAATTAAATTCAAATTTGCGTAATAAAAATTTGAGCATTATAACAGCATAAATTTAGTAAAAATAAGGTGCTGAATTTAAATTGCAAGAAAGTAAATAGCAGAAATTTAAATGGCAGAAAAGTAAATAGCGAAAAAGTAAATTACAGAAAAGTAAATATTCAGGAGGAGGCAAAGTCTCAACTCCAAGAGGAGGTTTTTACCATCAACTCTTATATGATCTAAGGTGACATAGTCTACCATATGATCATTTGCTCGGAGTAGGTACAACCTAGCATCCCGGCATAACATATAAAAAAAATGGACAGAATATAAGAGCAATTCGTGCTGATAACGTGTTATAAATAAACTAAACTGTACCACTATATTTGATATAGTGGATGATTAAGTTTAAGTAATAAAGAAGAAGAAGAAGGAGGTGTGATAGAGAGAGAGTTACATATGTAGGTGAGAAGGAGATGGAGAGAGATAGGTTGTACGTGGAGGAAGAAGGAGAGAATTATAGAGTGAATTTCTTTCTATTGAACTTTCTGTTTTTGTATTAAACTTAACTTAATAACAAGCATCGAACTCTCTATTTATAGAGGGATAAAATATTAAACTATGACAAGTCGGTAACTTTGAAGTCGATAAGATAAACTTAGTGTAGAAGTAAATACTTAAATATTCATAGGGGATAATTATCCTTTTCAACAGTTATGAACTACAAGAATTCTTAACCATGACTGAAAGGTTATTAAAGTAGATATCTTAAAAACATGTTTTTTATGTATATTCATATTTATTGACATGATTCCTTTTTTTTGTGATAGAAATAATGGTCGATCAAGTAATGGCGAACATTCAAAGAGCAAAGACAAATTCATTTATGAAACTAATACAAATCGCAAAGCATCGGTAAATCTAACAAAACACTATATATATATACATATATATATATATATATATGTCAATATATACTTATTTCGCATTTACATTTGTAGATAATATAGTCTGTTTGGAGTCTAAACAAATAAATTTTTAAAGAGTTACTCGATTAAATTTTTAGTCAACATGATATAGAGCAAGATGATCGTTATTCGCCACACACTCTCTGTATCAACATCCAACAGACTTGATGAAAAAGTAAGTAATAATGACACAGAAGTGGACGAAAGACAAGAGGGTAATGGATTCTAGTTTCCAATGGAACTTACATCTGATGATGAGTTTCCACGAGCTATGTAACATCCCCGCCGCCTCTACCGGTCAGTCACCCACGTCCTCTCTCGGCACGTGGGCTTCACCTCTGTCCGATGGTCGGTGCATTATTTTTGAGAGACTCAGAGAATGTATTTACTATCTCTGCAATCATCACCCGGTTTTTTCCCGTGTTTTTTCCTAACTCACACGGTTTCGCAG